CTCGCTCTTTTCCTGGTTTCTGCTTGAGAGCTGCTAGTCGTGCCCGGAGGTCGCTCCTTAAGAGGGGAGTTATGTCACATCCTCCTCCTGTTGCGGATCATTTCTATCTTGGCTTCTGATATCCAGTACTCTTTCTACAATTCTTGTTTTCTTGGTTTTTCTGGTTTTCTATTCTATGTCTGGTTTTCTTTATGCTGGGTTCATTCCTTTATTCCATCAGGTATACAGGGGTCCCAGTCTTCGGACCGCCACCCGTGACAGGGGTGAGTGGGCCTAAAGTTGTGTTTCAGTGTTTAAACGGCTGGGCACACCAAGATAAGGGACATCTTAACCTATCTGATTGACAACATCTCAGTTGGCCCCATTAGGGTGGACCAAGCAGAGAGTTACATAGCAACATAGAAACATAGAATGTGACGGCAGATAAGAACCATTCGGCCCATCTAGTCTGCCCAATTTTCTAAATACTTTCATTAGTCCCTAGCCTTACCTTATAGTTAGGATAGCCTTATGCCTATCCCACGCATGCTTAAACTCCTTTACTGTGTTAACTCCTTTACTGTGTTATGGAATTGATGCGTTCGCACTCTACTCATATGGGACAGCTCTCTCATGTCCCTCAATCTGTTCCTCAACATCAAGGAACAAAACCAGGATGGTAGGACAGGTCCCACCTGACATTGGATATTTGGGAGCCATATATAAGAACAGATAATGTTGTAGGATCAGGACAATTTATCTTAAACTTACTGGGGATGTTAACACACAATATGTAGAAATGATATATACAATTCTATAAAACAACGCAGAAACATATAAACTGATTCATTGTTTTTTATCATCTCTCCCATCTCAGGAATAGTACTGCTCATGAATCTTTGTGACCAAGTCAACGTGTATGAATTTGTGCCATCAAAAAGAAGAACTGACCAATGCCATTACTATCACAGATTTTTTGATCAGGCATGTACGATGGGAGCCTACCACCCACTTATGTATGAGAAGAACCTCATAAAGAAACTCAATCAAGGAGATGACAACACCATTTACTATTCTGGAAAAGTAACTTTACCTGGACTAAATGGATTGCAGTGTTCATCACAGTTCTAATTAAGCTAGAAAAAGAAAGTAGGCACAGCTTGTACAATTAAAGAAGAGAGAAAAATTGAGCATATATGGTAGTAATTGCTGTCTGTCAAATGGGTTATCGTTTTAGATACTTTAATTTAGGCTTTGTTCCTTACAGTGATACGTGCCTTCCTGCCACCAAAAGAGAGTGGTTCTCCTATACCTATTATATCTACTATCTGTACTTTATCAAATTGTACTGTACCATTATTGTCTTTTTTTTGTAATATCCTGAGGTTTACAACACCATACCCTCTGAAGTTTTATGTACGTATGATTTTGGGCGCAGTATACGCCATATCCTTCTTTTGTTCAATTATCACACAAGGTCTTGGGAATCCTTGTATTGTATACAGCATCCCCCACATATCTATTGCACTATAGAGAGCACCTATTACCCTTGTTTTTACTTGTGATGCTTGTGAATTTTCCTTTTCAATCTCTTCTCCAAGTCACTTATTCTCTCAATCAGCCTCACTAGACATTTATGTCTCTCCTTCTTGTCACGTATCTCTCAAGCCTACCAACTCAGCAGGCTATTTTCCAAACTCAAACTCTCCCTCACCCATTTCCTCTACTTCACAGCATCCCTATTATTATATCTTACCAACCCCCTTTGCATCCTTTCAGCATTCTTCCCCTTATCTAAGTCTATTTCATCTCTATCTGTCTTCACCCAAAATATTTGGTCTGCATTCCTCTTATTTCTGGTTGTCTGTTTTGACGCTTACTCTAGCTTTGCTGGATACATGATTAAGGTTACAGACAAAAAAATTGTAAGCCTTTGTGGTTATTCTGACCTTTAGGTTTTACAAACAAAACATGGCCTTTTAATTGCACTTTTTGGGGGCGGAGCCTAGGAGCACACCGGAGCGGTCGCCATTTCCCACGGCTCCGACAGCCAAGAGCAGAATCCGGCTGATATCAGCCAATCCGCAACCTGGCTGCTGATATAAGGTGCGGGCACTACATCCGAGCATTCTGCCGAACCTGCAGCTACCTTTCACGCCTCAGTCACGAAACGCCACAAAGGAGGCACCGAGGCCTACCACAGACAGAGGTCTCAAAAACCGACCCCACACACGCCCCAGTAACAGTGAGACATAGACCTTATGCTTCAAACTCCACCACAAGCACAGGCCCAGACCACCCGTGAGGCCACCAATACGGTCAGAAGAGGAAGACTCTCCACACAGCTTGGCTGTAGCCACAACAGAAAGGGAGAACCCTCAGAATATTATGATTGGTGCCCCAGCGCCCAAACAGGACATCCAAGACATGCTGGCCGGACTCCAACGCAACCTCCAAGAAATGTGGCAGGCAGACCTAGAGGTACAAACAGTCATAGCCCGTACTCAGGCCACAGAGGAAGAGGTGAAAGCCCTACGACAATACCTGAACGAACTGAGAAACACAATACAACTGATGCAAGCTACACACACCACCCTCAACAGGCAAGTCAACCTGCTGGATGACAGAGGGAGGCTTGAGGAGGGAGAAAGTGAAAATAGGGGGGATCTTGGAATCAATACCCCTGGATGAACTGCCTCATTTTATAAGGTGCCTGGTAGCCTCACTTTTACCCACAAGATAAGCCAAACAATTCACCTTCGATGGAGTATAACAGATTGCCAAATCACCGCAAGATACACACTCTGCCCCCCTCAACCTCATCTTAAGGTGCCAGACGCTAACTGATAAAATAGCCCCAATGGCCGCCATCAAAAGAAAAATGCCATATGAATTTGAAATGTGTGAAACTGCCTTTTTCCAGGACTTAAGCAGAGCCACACTAGTATGGTGCAAAAGCATGCAGCCCATTACCACCACTCTACAAACCGCAGGACTCACGTACAGATAGGCAACACCTAGATCATTATGGGTAATCAAAGATGACAGAGCCTACAAGATATGGGACCCAGAAGAAGAAGCCTTGCTCACCACACTAGGGCTCCTCGGCAATACCAAAGGAATACCCTGCACCCACCAGGGACTCTGGCAAACACGCCACTGTTAACCAGTGGAGCAGACGGAGGCCCGGTGACCTGAAAGCTGTGCCTTCCACACTGTTTATGTTCTCTTTGTTTCTAATGTTTTTTACTGTTTTTATTTAAGTGTACCTAGCAAATGACAAGACTATCCGAGCCTACTCAGACTAGACTTGAAAAGCAAACTCCTGTGACGTATGACGTACATCCCTTATGGGACTGGGGAAAAGCCAGCTTGGGTGCAAGCAGGCGTTGCGCAAGATTAAACCCTGGTACACAAGTTTCTAATAGGCACCACGAGACACAGGCCACTGCCCTCGCAACCCACACTGCCTAGGTCGTCAAAAGCAAACTACCACCACACTAGCCTAACAAGCGACTACATCCAGAGTCTTATGAACCAACTAATCTATTTATAGACGCAACTTCATGTACTAAATAACACCCAAGAGTACTCCTAACTTATTAAAATAGACCACCTTACCAAGTGAAACCTCACCTGATGGCAACAATCTAAGAATAGTATGTTCATACTACCACAAGCAACGCCACACAGTACCTAATCCATATTAGAAATGAAGTACTAAAGCTGGACAGACCCTTACGACTATCTAGCCCACTTAAAAAGTGCAACTTTTATAAATGCCATGTACATATTTTACCTTATTATCTATATAAACACATATGCACAGAAAATGAAAATAAAGAATTTTAATTGCACTAAACAACTCTAGACCATGCTTCATTTCTTTACTAATTTGTTGGTTTGTCCCTTCTTGTTTGCAGTTCTCTGCAATGACCTTCTCCTGTCTGTGGCTCAAACACTTACTGCTAACTCGCGCTGACAGGACATCTCACAAGCGCCTTCTTTCCTTTAGAACAGTCAGGCTACCCCCACCAGACCCCTTGCCCATAGTCTTTAATCATGTAAGAAGACCTCTAAAACTCATCTCTTCAGAAAAGCTTATGACCTCCCAAAATAACTTTTATTCCACAAACCCGTCTCTCGCTCTCCCCTTAAGGGCAACAATCCATTGCCACCTTTCATTTTGGCTACTTTCCTACCTTGTCGCTTGGTTGCTATCCCCCACGCTGCCCTTCCTATTGTGTTTTTATACACTTCCTGTAATTGTAATCTCTTTCGAGCAGGGTTCTCATCAACCTGTTGTTCCTGTAACATTTTGTAATTGTCTCATTTATTTTTACATGCCTCCCTTTATAATATTGTAAAGTGCTGCAGAATAAGTCAACATTATAAAAATGCTAATGATAATAATAATAATAATGCTAATGATAATAATAATTGTAACAGGTCAAGCAAGATACATTTCACTGCACAGTGATCTTTATTTCTGCTCCCTCATAGTTTGCAGATCTTACAACAAAATAGACTGATTTTATATCACATGCAAATCGATTTATAACTTTTTTGACATGCGTTTTTCTGGATTTTTTTTGTTTTTTTGTTATTTTGTCTCTCGCTGTTAAAATACACCCACCATTAAAATTATAGATTGATCATTTCTGTGTCAGTGGGCAAGTGTTTTTAAAATCAGCAGGGGATCAAATACTTTTTTTCCCTCACTGTACACTGACAATAGCACCACCCACCAACTGCTAGTGAATAGTGAAAGACAAAGTTTGTTTTTACTATTTACAAGTCATATGGCAGTGACTGAAGTACATGAAACAGGTGGTGATTAAGATTTATATATGTATATCTATATATAAAACCAGAGCCCACGTCTATTTGTATAATAGAACATCTTCTTTCCTGTTTTTGAGGGTGTTCTTGTTTTTAAAAATTTTTTTTCCATTTTGATAAAATCTAAAAAAAAAAATGAATTGCAAAAAATAGAACCTGTAAATGATTTCTGTTTGTACCCTGCAAAAATTGATAAAAAAAATAGTAACAACACATATGCAGAATTTAATGAAGCATAACAAAAGCCCATTCGTTCCCCTTTGTGTCAATGTTAGTGTTTGTATCAGGGCCTTCTTTAACCTCATGACAACAGTGGAACACGAATGCCTGCAGAGAATAGCGGGAGTAAAGGCCTGAATTGAAATATTAGCAGGTGCATATTCCAGCTGCTGACATTATGAGGCACAAGTTCCATTCATTTTAGACATGTACTATACAAGGTAGTGTATATATAAAATATACAATATACACATATATATATATATATATATATATATATATATATATAATTGGTAGCTCCTCCCTATCCCTAATTAGAAAGAAACTAAATAAAAGAAGGGGTATAAATACCCCCTCCCAACCCTTCCTCCCTCAGTCTTTTTGTTGGCATTCTATCCCTATAGGACAATCATGTTCATTCCAGGACTAAAAGATTTTTACTTATGGCTTACCTGAGGGTAGCTACTCTCAGCCTCAAGAGAGTTCAGCCTCTCCTTCTTGGGAAGTAATCAGTACGTGTCCCTGCTCAAAGATGTCCCCCTGAAGATACCCCTTTAGTGACCATGGGTTTAAACTTACTTTGACCCATGGGGTAGCAAGACTACAGCCTTGTCCAACTTACTGCAGTGAACCTAGGGGTAGCCGAATGGTAGGCAAATAAGGTTTTCATTATAAAAAGAAAGTATGCCCATCAGGATATATTATTCTCTCTTCACTTACCTTTATTTTTTATTTGGGGTTTTCCCTTCTTCCCATGTGGTCTTGTTAATTTCCTCCTTTTGTGCTTCTTTTATTTGCCCTGGTGGTCTGGTGGCAGCATTTTCGCCGCTTTAGAGGTAAGACACGGCCCCTAGTTTTAAGCAGCCTTCATTCTGTACGGCGTCTTCCTCTGAGAATGGGCAGATATGGACATTGCATTTGTGGACCGTGCATTCGCACGCGCATTCTGTAAAGGCATACGTTTTCAAGGATACACGAGGTCCGAATTTGATGATGTGACGCCACTTTTTAGGCACCAAATTCAATAATCTAGCTGCTGAGTTTCACTCAACCCATGGATTCTATTTGCAACTCTTTCTCACAAGAAAGGCCTCAGGAGTTTGGAGATTTTGGATTTTAACAGACTGGATCAGCATCTAAACATACCCAAATTCAAGATGGCATCTTTGCAATCTTTCATAAAGGCTGTCTTTTCATACCAATGGATGATGTTAATAGACTTGGTAGACACTTACTTTCACATACCCATTATTCCTCAACATCAGAAGTTCCTCAGAATTGCTGTAGAACAAGCATGTCAAACTTGCGGGCCGCATGCGGCCCACAAGGACCATCTTTACGGCCCAGCGAGCCGCGAGTACATGCTGGTGTTATAGCAGAGTAGGCACCTGCTTTCCCCACATTTCAGGTGCCTACTCTGCTAACACTTACCTGGCCGGGGAGGAGGGCCAGCGAGGGAGCTAAGTGTTCCTGCTTCTCAATGCTACCTCCTGCACGCCATCTGTGAAGCCGGGTGCCGGAATATGACGTCATATTCCGGCACCCAGCATCACTAAACAGCGCCAGCGAGCAGTGAGGAGCAGATAGAAGGACCCCAGAGCAATAAAGTAAAGTATGTGTGTACAAGAATGTGTGAATGTGTGTGTGAGTGTCTGTCAGTGAGTGTTTGTGTGTCTGTGTGTGTGTATGTGTGTGTCTGTCAGTGAGTGTGTGTGTGTCTCTCAGTGAGTGTCTCCACGCCATATCTGTTAAAGAACAGTTTTCCAACAAAGGCAGGGTTATATTGCATACAGTTCCTGAATTCCAGCCTAAGGTGACTTCCTCTTTTCATATTAATGAGTAAATTGTACTTCCAGCTTTACAAGAGAAACCTTCCCCCTTGAACTTGGTGAGATGTTTTAAAATATACATAGACCTAACTGCTTCTTGCTGTTTCTCTCAAAGACTTTTCATTTTGCCTTGGGGAAAAAGGAGAGATACTGCAGCCTCTAGACCTCCCATCAGCAGATGGATTGTTTCTGCCACTATAAAATCATTTCAAGCCTTGGGAGTTCCCTTTCCCCCTCTTGGGCTGTGGCTGCTAAAGTTTCCCTAGAACTAATTTGTAGGGCAGCCACTTGTTCATCAGCTAACTACAATTTTCCTAAGGCATAATCTATTGGATGTTAAGGCCGGACATTTTGATCAATTTGGAAAAAGTGTTCTTGCTGTTTCTAATACTTTATTCTCATGTTTTGTGCTTGTGAAATTTGGGTTTTGAGTAATTAGGATTTGAGTACTGCCAGAAGCTCTAGCTCTAGGAGGTTCGAAGGAGTGTTAGCTGCAAGGAATGTCCATTATCCTTGAATGTATTTGTTTTGAAGACAGACTCTCCATCCCCATTGCCTGGCATCTGTAGTTATTAGAGCCCAAGTAATGTTTACTAGGGGAAATCCTCTGAATGGGAATTTATTGTGTAGCCACCAACTAAGGGACTGGTGAACCTCAGCAGGAATATTTAATAGGTTGTAACAGGTTCACTGATCTGAACTGGCAAAACAATTTGTTGTGAAAAATCTCATTCTCCATTGTGCCCACCTTGTCAGACCTAGAGTGGAGGAAATGGAACATGTGATTAATATTAAAAATAATATTTAGTTAAAAATGTTAAAAAAATGTATATATTTGCACTGTTAATTTAAAGCTGAGAGTTACCCACTATAGTTTTAACTCTCATAGACCCTGGAGTACGTTTTTACTAGAGGATTTGTATTTCACACATTAATCACAAACCAATTATAAAAATATAATTTATTGTGATAATAATTAATAATAATAATAATATGTAACATGCGTGACAAAAATCAGTGAATATTTGGGTATAACACAAGTACACAATATGGCAGTTTAACACAGTTCTGATAGCAATAGCAACATATCGCGCTACGGAATCTGTTGGCGCTATATAAATGGCAATAATAATAATAATAATAATAATATCCACATAGATGCATATTTCAACAGATTTATGACAGGACACTCTCTTGGAAATCAGCTTGCTAAACATTCCTTAACACAGGACTCTTCTCATCATCACAGCAGCACAGCGTAATCAATAAACTTTGGCTGACAGTCAAATCACACTGAGTTAATTAACTCATTTACTGCTGACTACAATTCTCACAGGCAAAATACCTTTTATATTGCCACGACAAATGCAATAATTCTCATACCAGATCAGTTAACCATTCCTTCTCATCCGATGACCAATAAGAATAATTCTAACCAGATTTTATGTTTTAACTTTCCTAATTAAAGATAACTATCCCTAATCCAGATAAGTCAAAATCTCTGGTTAATTTCTGATATGCTATTTCTTTTGTCAATTTACCAATAAATATAGTATTCACTTATTCTTTGTAAATATACTATTAGCTTATTCTTTCTGCAGTTAAGAATTTGAAACAATATATTTAATTAGCTAACTATGATTTCATAATAGTTTAAATCTGACCAGCTTTTTATCCAGATATATTTCTGTTTTAGTAAAAATTAATTAATTGAAATTAAATTAAATTAAATAAAACCAGCATAATTACCAGCTTATTTTGTAGAATTTCATTTAGGCTTGGAGTTATATCTCAAGAATTGTGCATGCAAGTATGAATGAGAATTGTGGGAAATAGGAAAATTTTCTGGATTTTAAAGAATTTCAAAGTTAAGTGTTAGTTGGAAAAGAATACAGAGAGATAGATGTGTCCAGCTTTGGTCCCAGATGTTAGATCCCAGCTCTCAGATGTTAGCTCTCAGATTTTACGTGTGAGATCTTAGCAGTAAGATCTTAAGTGTGTGGTCATAGATGTGAGCTCTTAGCTGTGAAATCTTAGGTGTGTGGTCCTAGATGTGAGATCCCCTCTCTCTGTCTGTCCGTAATTTTTAAAGGAGAAGTTCTCTTTACGTCACTAGTTTCTGCGACCAATAGAGTAAGGCGGTGTCTTTCCTATAGTAAAAACCAAAGAAAAAAGTAATCTGCGCTCTTCCCAATTCCCTATGCATATTTAAACAAATGGAGGTTATTTAGTTTCTCCAATGGCCATGAGAGAGTTTAGCCCACCTGCCACGTCAAGGCAATCCTCTCAGGTGGGTCCTACACTAACCTTCCACCTTGCTTCCTTGAGCTTCTGGCAAAGATATCGCTAATGAAACAGAAATGAGGTATTTCTATAGTATATATACACCTACATACTTATTAACCCCTAATAAGGAACACATGGGATGGGCGGCAGCATTGTAACATAGCTGTGTGATACAAAAGTGAATACAAATACAAAAAAAACAAGTCCTGTGCTCAAACTCCCATCACTCTTGGGTGGCAGCAACGACCATAGCACACATCAGCCCCAATACATACAGTAAAACCCAAAGAAAAAAGTTACCTGCGCTCTTCCCAAATCCCTATGCATATTTAAACAAATGCACAGAAAAAGGTGCAGGGAGGCAGCGCCTGTGGTGTTGTCCTCAAATCCAAGGTAATATGTGAAATAAGCACAGAGAACGTAATATAGTGTAGTATGTCAGGAGTTCTGATATCTTAACAAGGACAAAGGTTGTACTTACAATTTTCTGGAGCTTATGTTCAGCTCCAGATTTATGCGCATGGACGGAATAATCCCTGTCTATGGATATGGTAGTGTGTCCTCGTGCTTATTAGTTGGTGCTGTTCTTCGTGCTTTTAATGGTAGTGTCAGTATGAAATGGGGAGCAAATGGAGGTATTGCTCAATCCCAAAGCGCTTAGGTGGTATTATCCCCACCGAGGATATCACTGTGTGAGTCTTCTGGATAAAAAAAAAAAGCTTGAAAGATAGGTCTGGAATCTCCAAGTGGTATAAAATGAATAATAACTTTTATTTGGAGATAAAAAAAAAAAACAAGAACAAGTATAAAAGAATTATAAAACACTAACGCGTTTCACCTATAACAGGCTTTCTCAAAGTGTTACAGTTTATGAGACCTATCTTGTTTAAATAGCTTTAGAACAGGTGGTATAATCAGTCATGTGACTAAAAGTAAATTACTTAAAACATGAATAAAACTTAGTTTGCAGCAAAAAGCAGAGAAGGTACAATAAAATGATACATTAAAGTGTAAAAATAACTTTATAATAATATTGCATTTTAAAAGAAGGTATATATTATAATTTTATGTGGTGTAGCTTTAAAGGGGGGGACCCAAGATGGCTGCCGCCATCTCCATAATAGGAGTGTAAAGATGGCTGCCGCTTTCTTTTGTGTGTGGGGCAGCTAAAATTGTAAAAAAAAAAAAAGCAAAGGGACTCTAAGAGGGGAAGGTGGGGAGGTGAGTGAGGTACTTCTCCCCTAAAAACAAGCAGTATTACACTGAAATCAGCACATTGTGAGTACCAATATGGCGTCCCTGGCCTGCATCATGTGATCAGCATGTGTCATGACGTCATAGGGGGGCATGGCCTTGGAGGGATACTGTGGGGAGGGAGGGGAAGTGTGTCGAGTGGAGAGGAGGAGTTAGGGGAGTGATTAGTATAGCTTGCTCCATAAAACAACTCCACCTCATAGCAGGGGAATGTGGGACTGTAGTAAAAAAAAAATAGATTGAAAAAAACAACATGAAAATAAAAACAAAACATATTATATAAAACCTGCATAATAATGAATGTATAAACTCTCCTGGACTTATAAAAAAAGTTAAAGCATAAGTGAATATAAAAATAAATAAATAGATAATTAAATAATAGCCGAGCAGATATCTAATAATAAGCATATTGATAGGAATATAGACTAATAACTAGAATAAACCATGAAATAGGATTAAAATATAACTTAAATGAAGATAAAAACATATGAGATGCATACATTGTAAAACAGTAAATTATAGAAAATTAAAAAGGTCAAAGTCAGCATTTAACCCTCCAGGTGCCAGTGTGTCCAGTTTAAAAACCCAATTCATTTCTATTTTGCCCAGTAATTTGGGGAGGTTGCCACCTCGCCAGGGATGTGTGACTTTTTCTATAGCATAGAATCTTAGGCAACTGGGGTCTTTATTGTGGGTAAGAAAGTGTTTGGACACGGAATGATTTAAAAAACCTTTTTTGATATTTGTTTTTCTATTTAAACAAATGGTGTCTTTCCTATAGGCTATCATCGAGATTTTGGTCAGTAGATGGCACAATTACATCACCTAAATTTCTTGTGAGGAAGTCCAATTATCACTTTGTATAATGGGTTAACTGAATTTCGTGATGCGTTTGACATGGATTTTGGTTATCTGTATGATACTATTCGTCAAAAATCTGTCAGACTTCAAAACGTTCTGGTGTGTGTATCAGACTTACTGTCTGGTTTTGTGCTATCAAATTAGTTTCTGACATGTGAGTGGCGGAGCTCCCTGTACCCCTGGCTGGGCAGCTCCGCCAAGGACCGCATCCTAGTTGGAACAGGGGACAAACTGCAGCACTTCTGCCCACAGTCACCGTGGCTTTACTTGGGCCCTGCAACCGCTCCCTTCTGGAGCCGAATGTGGAACTTGCTCTAGCAACCCCCAGGCAATGGATGACACTCCGTCCTATGAGCTCTAGTCCTGGAACCACTCCCTCCTGGAGCCGAATGGGGAATTCGCTCTAGACACCCCCAGGCTGTGGACGACACTCAGTCCTGGGAGCTCTAGTCCTTACAAGGACTTTCCCCATTGAATCCTCCACACTGGAGCAGTGATTAAAGAATAGCCCTTTCCCCTCCAAGTAACCACACAACACATAGTTCTGATAGTACAAGCTGGGATACTTTAATGGGAGCCACAACTGGCCTTATACGAATGTCCCCCATTCAAGGGGCACCCCCTCTCTGGACCTGAGAGTAAACCACAGCAAAAACAAATACATAATTACATTGTCTCTCAGGTCCAGGACACTCCCATACAAAATCAGATAATCCCTCCTCTGTGCCTGGGAGATAATTGGATTAGGAACTGTACTAATCTAATCCAATTATCTCCAAGCACAGAAAAAACATCCCTTTTCCCAAACACCCCAAAAGTACCCTAAAAATACATAAAACCCCACAAAAGTTACATCCCCTGATAGCCCTGATCTGTGTGATCAACATATCCCAAAATCCTCCAGATCAGTTCAAGGGCTCAGGAATTTCCTGGAAGTAATTTATTTGACCGACCGCATGCATGGTCCCTTGCCCAAAACTGTTCCATAAATCAGGGCTTGTGGTCGGTCTAGTTCGATAGATTAAAAAAGTGAACATACTACCAAACGGAATCCATAGTTCTACCCTGGAGCTTGTTCACCTTATTCAGACGAATGATTCTACCAAACAGTGTCTTCCTAAGTGTTATAAAACCTAACACAGGCGATCATGGAAGGCCAGCAGTGTTCAGGAGTTTCAGTATCCAAAAATAGTTATATGAACTCGACGACCAAACACCGCTGCCTGTGTTCAAGCGAACAAGATGGCCATAGGAATTGCAGCCACCCAGACAAACACTTAGAACACTGAGGTGGAAATTGCTACAAAGTAGCAATTAGGCTTAAAGGACCACTATAGGCGCATACCCAGAATCCCTTGCTAAAGTGAGATTTCTGTGGTAAAAGCAAGTCTTATGGCTTTCCTGGTGTGTGTAATTGTGTTTAACATTGCATTAACTATCCTCTTTCTTTTTGAAACAAGTCCTGTTAGAGAGGTGAATTATGTTCTGTTTCCAGTTGTTTCACCTGGGTTGCAAATAATTGGTAATCCTGTGATCTTTTTGGTCTTGCACTTTCCTAAAAATGTCCAGGGATTCTATCTTTTCACTGATCTTCATTTTCACTTATTACTTGTGCATACATTTTTACATTTTGCTCCATGGGTATATACAATTTGTTTCCCCTGAGATTTCCCCAAATATCTCTCAGCAGAGGAGACACAATCACATATATTCTTGTATGCTTCACACCATTATTGCTTTAAGATTAATTATTGTTATTGGATTTATACTGGGGGGCGGGTGGGTTATAAATTGGTCTGCCCACTTTTTCCTCAAAATCTCTTTTGTAGAAAGTTTTATTTTGTCTGTCTTTTATTTATTTCTTTTCACAGTAGCAATGTTTTCATAAAATTGTTAAATATAAATATAAGATGGTGGGAAAGTGATTGCAAACATTGCAATCAAACATTGCAAAATACATTGCAAAAATACCACAATTACTTCAGTTATTCTTGCAGTGAAACTCAAAACCTCTTGCTAATGAAGATTGAGGTAAAGTTTGTAAAAAAAAAAAAAAAAAAGAAAGACATATACGTTAATAGAAAAAACAGGAAGCAAGGCGCTTAATGTCTGAGATGCAAAGATATCACAGATCTAGACTTCTAAAAGATGAAGAAAGTATTTATCTTGTGTCTCCTTCTGCATTTTGTTTTTCTGTAGATAACTCTGTATTAAGAGACAGAA